TGGCAAAAGACCAAGGTACGGCGAAGATTAACCTGGTGCAGCATATGGAAGGAGTCTGTTACAGACTTTATTTGTCTTTTGCCGAAGCTCAGACTCTGGCGCAGGTTCGGAAACGTTGGAAGCTCCCTGTGACGTGTCTGCCTCTGCGATCTGAAAGGAGAAGCGGCGATGGAAGAAGGAGAAAAAGAAGAATAAGAAGAAGCTTGTTCAGGGTTGTTGCTGAATTTCTTTAGAACCTGACTTTTGCGCCGTGCATATTTCGTCCATACCTGCACAAAGAATTTCGATCGGATTTGCTCGAGCTACCATTTCTTGTTCTGCGAATTGAACATTAGCGCGAGCTGTTGTCGTCGGCTGCAGAAATACAGTATTACCTTGGATACTTCTTCCAAGCTACAGTAGGTCCATCGCGCGACAGAGTCACTGGTTTACGTTCGCAAGGCAATATCTGATGATGTATTCTGCTACCAACAAAAATATTTACTGCAGAACATATTGAGCAAAAGTAAGAATATTCACCTCTCCTTACCTTGATGAAATAAATAATGGTTTCGTTTCATGTTCAGCGTTGTGGTATGGTCTGATTTTGCTCATTTCACGGTATTCGCGAACATTGTGCTCTCAGTACGACACCGTTCTCTCATTTAACAACGGTGAATTTGCGTCCTTCTGTCATCGTGATCTTAATTTGCCACGTAAAATGAGAGGAAAATGAGCAATGGATTGTCAAATGTTTAATTACGGTCTCCCGTTGGGATAAAAAATCGAAATACGTTTGTAACCTTGGCATAAAAAATTAATTTGCTTGCTAAAAAGAAAAAAATTTCATTTTAGGAACGGTACGCTTCAGTCACATGATAGGCGGAGACTGTCCTTTGTTGTCACAGTTACGCGCGCTAAACTACAGGTTGCTAACTACAGGTTACTTGGTCACTGAATAAACAGTGTGAATGTCGTTCTGTACGACTCTGGAAGCTGGACTGACGTACTTGAGCGTGTGATGAGCACCACAGTGGCAGGCCAAATGCCGAATGCTCGAAACAGTAAGTGCATTACTTCTACAGTACGTCTGTGTGGAATCTGCAAGCGTCGGCTTTATTCGATTGTTTGCGCTCTCGCGATTATACAGTATTTTCGTATCGATATCTCCCTGGTGATCCTGCTTCTGAGTCTAATGGCTCTCGCTGAGGAAAAAAGACTTTCTCAGATAATGGTATCATGGCGTTGTGCTGTCAAGAGAAAAACCTTCGATATTGCGCATGCCTGTAGTAAAATGTGAACAATGCAGCAGAGAAGCCGTTGTCCCTTCAAGCATGAAACCGGGGGTTGGGGATGTGGAATTGGCGGGCGCTTTTCGCTGCCTAACGAACCGCGAAGATAAAATCGGAAAGTGTGCGTTTTCTGACAAATTGGACCAACTGCTGACTTTGATGATGTCCTTAGCGCTTCTTCAAAATAGATACGAGTCGTGTCCATAGTTGACGTGTTCGTCACGGCATGAAGAGAGGCGGCGGCGGTGGCGGCGATTTTGGCTTTGAGGCAGCGATGTCAGCTATCAGTGTTGGTGGCACATGTTGCCGGTCGAACGAACGACCGGCCGCTTGGCTGTCGCTGAGCTACAGTGTGTCTGCGAAGAGAAGGAAGAAAAAGCAGCAGCCAGGAGTGAAAGAGACAAGATCACCAACAGATCATCAGCGAGGTCATAAGGTGAAGAACAACAAGGGCAATGGCCAGTGTGTCGATGGGGTCAGAAGCGAGGTCAATTTGAGGGCAAGCTTAGGAAAGGGAGCCGATGAGTCGAGTTCTCGCACGGAACTGAAACTGAAACAACAGACGCGACCTCGCGCGGCATGTGTGATTGATCCTGGCCTAACCATCCATTGTGCGGCCGGCGACTGTTGCTGCTGGCGAATTTTGGCGAACGTCGTCGTAGTCGTCGTCGTCGGCCGGCGAAAATATCACGCGACTCTATGAGCCGTCAGCAAATCAGCGGCGGCAAGAAAAACCGTATTCCCCCGAGGAGGCAGTTTTAAAGAGTTGTCTCGTCGTCGGAAACAAATCGACAACGGCCGCTTTCAAGTTGCCGCCTGGCAGAAGAGCTGTCCGTCGGCCGCCCGTCTGTTCGTCCGCTCGGCAACCGAACAGCAGGAGGCATAAAGCGATGAGGGACCAAGCAAATGACGTCATGGCCACTGGAGGACAGACGTTTAGAGCAGGGAGCGAGGGAGAGTCACTAATAAGCATTGAATGGGCGAAAGAGTGGAGAGGAGGAAAACGAAGAGCAATCAAAAGCAGACAAAGCAGAAAGTTGTTGAGATGCAGCAAAGGCAAGAGCAGAAGCGATCGTCGACGGATGAGTGAGGCAGGGTCGCACGCTTGGTCGATTCGACCTGTATGGCCGCAGGTCTTCTGTTATCGTTGCCAGCATCGCCATGGTCGACACCTCGCTGCCGTCGTGATCATGGCCGCCTTTCTTTGAGGCGTTGCCTCTCTGCCGCTTAAATAGTTACATGAGAAAAACGACGATCGTAAAAT